CGTTGCCGGTCCCCGGTCCGGTACGGGGGCAACACTGAGGGTTGCGATCCGTTGCGGGACATTGATTTTTTTTAGAATAGTTGCTAGTATGCATATTTGTATTATTATTTTTAAAGTGAGGATATCTGATGTTATTGTCTTCCAAATCAGTGTCTTAGATAGCTCATTCATTCATCTTCTCATTCATCTATCTTTTACACATCACACATTTATTCATTACCTTTTGTTACTAGGGTCTGGGATTACAAAGGTAAACAGGACTCCATTCTTACCATCGAACATTCTCATGGGGGTAATCGGATGTGTAAATTTAATCGTATCATCATTTGATGCTTCATTGTTCTGAGGTTAGGTGTATAATCTTAAATTTCAATTTTCTCATCTGCAGAGTGGTCATGATAAGGATACCTTTCATAGGATTATTGAGAGGATCAAATTAGTTTTTCCATGTTTGACATGTATGGAATGTGGTAAGCATTCCATAAATGTTAGCTATTTATGATGATGGTGGTGATCATAAAAAAATGTGCTAAATAGAGTCCTACATGAAGTACTTTGGAGGTACAGAGAAGAGAGTATAGTTTAAGTTCTAAAACTGTGCTGTGTAATTATGGTAGCCACAAGACTACTAGATATTGAGCACTTGAAATGTGGCTAGGCCAAAATGAAATCTGATGTATGTGTAAAAATATGAACCAGATTTCAAGGGCTTAATACAAAAAAAAAAAAAGAATGTAAAATATCTTAATTTTTCTTATTGATTACATGTTAAAATGATAATTTGGATATATTGGGTTAAATAAAAAATATTAAAATTATTTTCACCTGTTTTTACCCTTTTTAATATAGCTAGCAGAAATTTTACATTACATATGTGACTTGCTATATTTCTGTTGAACAGCACTGTTCTAGAGGGTGTCTCAGTGAAGGGCACGTGTGTTGGGTCTTGATGTGAGTGATACCCAGGTAAAGAGGAAAAGGCGTTATTCCAGGCAGAGAACACAGCATGTAACAAGCAGGAAGAAAGTTATGTGGAATGGTAAAAAGTGTGTCTGGAACAAAAGTTTGGGATAAAGCAAAAAGGATAAAATGCAAGATTTACTTAACATTTTTAAAGTACAGTGTGTTAAACTGCAAATGGAAGCCACTATTATTGTGCCATCCTCTTTGGTTCAATACATTTATTTTTTATTTTATTTTATTTTTTTAAGACCAGTAAGGGGATCTTAACCCTTGGCTTGGTGTTGTCAACACAACGCTCTCCCAAGTGAGCTAACCGGCCATCCCTATGTGGGATCTGAAGCCTTGGCCTTGGTGTTATCAGCATCGCACTCGCCCAAGTGAGCCACGGCCCCTGATTCAATACATTTAATCTCTTGGTTTTATTTTGAATATGGACATATAGTAAACTGAATAGGTATCCTGAGGCAACAGAAACCAAACACTCTGCTGGATTTCTTTCTTTTTCTTTGTTTTTTTAAATTTATTTTTTATTAATTAATGCTTGATAAGTGTGTATATTTATGGGGTACAATGTAATATTTGGGTACATGTATACAGTGTGCAAATGATCATATCAGTAATTAGCATATCCATCATTCAAACATTTGTCATTTCTTTGTGTTGGGAATATTCAAACTCCTTCCTACTAGCTATTTGAAATTATACAATAAATTATTGTTAACTGTGTTAGCTGTAGGCTCCCTACAGTACTATAGAGTGCTAGACCTTACTCTTCCTATCTAGCTGCAATTTTGTATCCACTGACCACCCTTTACCAATCCCCCTCACCCCCATCCTTACCGGACTCTAGTCACCACTGTTGTACTTCTATGAGATCAACTTTTTAAGTTTCCACATATGAGTGAGAACATGGGGTATTTCTCTCTGTGCCTAGATTTTTTTTTTTCCTTCTGGCTGGCCATTACCAGGATGAACCTTGGACCTTGGTGTTATCAGCACCACGATTTATCCAACTGAGCTAACCTGCCAGCCCCTCTTTGCCTGGCTTATTTCACTTAACATAATTTTCTTCAACCTCATCCATGTTGCCACAAATGTCGGATGACACAAATTCATTCTTTTTTATAGCTAGGGTAGTATTCCATTGTGCATATATACCACATTTTCTTTATCCAGTCATCCTGATGGACATTTAGGTTGGTTGCATATCTTGGCTATTATGAATAGAGCTGTGATTAAGGATTTTTTTTCTTTTTAACAACTTTTGAGGTATAATTTATATACCATAAACGCACCCATTTTAATTGTACAATTCAGTGGTTGTTAGATTTACTGCTGGATTCTTAAATTTTAAAAGATCCCTTAGAGCTTAGCAAGGAGTGTCATTTTCCCACTTTCAGCTACAGAGGACCTAAGATTCTTAAAATTTAATCCACTTCTTTATCCATTCTTAATTCATTTATCATTTGCATATTTACCTACCACCCTAGGTATTATTGTACCTCTATAAGAAGTTAAAGTAGCTAAATATAGAGTAGTCCTGGTGTCTCAAAATGAGAAACTCAGTTATGTCTAAATTTGAGCTTGCCATCCTTCACATTCAATGTATTTAAAAAATATCAGTAGGGGCCGGCCCCTGGCTCACTCGGGAGAGTGCAGTGCTGATAACACCAAGGCCATGGGTTCAGATCCCTATATAGGGATGGCCGGTTAGCTCACTTGGGAGAGCGTGGTGCTGACAACACCAAGTCACGGGTTAAGATCCCCTTACCGGTCATCTTTATAAAATATATATATCAGTAGTCTGACCATTATAACGTCAGTGGGTATGTAATTTTCATTATTTTTAAAAGGCAAATGGGATACCTGGTTCAAACCCCGCATTGTTATAAATTGTTTTACATTACAACTATTACAATTTTTGCGAGGATTAAGTGAGATAATGTAAAAACACATTGTTGAATGTAAAATTGAATCTTTTTTAATACTTAAAATCTTTTAAAATATCCTAGAGGACAACAATACCCGAGTTTTGTTTGAACGAGTCTTAACATCTGGAAGCCTTCCTCCTGAGAAGTCTGGGTAAGCAATGTGAAAACTTGTTGGTCAGCTTTAATACTTGAATTATGATCTGTGAGGTGCATGTTTGCTTGAGTATGAGTTTCAGGAGAAATTTTCCTTCTCTCTCAAGGCTTATTTTACATATTCACAACTCAAGGGTACTTCCAAAAGTGCGTAGAAAAATAGAATTGAAAGATAACATTAATCTCTCCATGAGCTTTTTGAAATTACCCTTTTAATTTCATACCTGTTTACAATTAGTTTTTAATTTTCTGCATAGTGATTAGAATCGTTTGAGAAATGCCTTAGCAATTTATTATTAAATGTGTTAATAGATCTTTCTAGTTAATATATCCCTAAAAACTGATATGCTAGAGAAGAGTTCTGAAATTTTTACCTCCCTTACTCCAAAGCAAAAACTCTTACATATTAGAAGTTTGTTTACATACTATGTCTCTGATTTATGGTTTTGACTCTTATCAGTTCTACCACAGGAATAACATGGTATAGTGGTACAGTGGAAATAGTAAGGCTTTTAAGTCTTGGGTTTAATTTCCAGCTCAGCCAACTAGACATAGGGCAAATTTCATAACTTTACCAAGCCTTACTTTCTTATTGAGTAATAATAATGTCTACTAGCGTAGGACTGTTGTGATAGTCCTGTACCTGGTATATACGAGGCACTCAATATATTACTTTAGTACAAAGGTTCTTGGTGAATTTAAATATTTGGCTATTTGAACAATGATAAGGTACCAGTTTGTCCCCAGTGATCCACATTAATGGGAAAAAAGAGAGAGCAATCATATTAGATTTTAGAATGTTTTTATTCATGTATTAGAGGAAGAATGTATTCTACATTGTAATTCATGCCACCAAACAAAATGATGAAGCCACATTATTCAGGAGAAATTAGAAATCTGTCTAAGTTCCTTTTCCAACTGTTCCATCTAGAGTTTAACCTCTCTAAGGTAAATGTCTCTTATGTTGACCACAAAGAATAGGAAGGTATGCTAAATAAGCAAAAAGTCGAAAAGGGGACTCAAATACTGAGGTTTTTAGGGTGAAGTTTTATATCTATAATTTACTCTCAAATACTTAAACAAAAAGAAGATGAAGCAAACATGGCAAAATATGAAAAATGATTAAATTTAGGTAATGGTATATAGGTGTTCATTATACTAGTCTATTTTTCTGTAGTTTGGAAATATTTATAATAATAAGGAGCTCTCTGTAATTTAGGGGGACAAGGGGGAGCTTAAGCCTTTATTATAAATGGACTCCCTGTCCAAAACCCAGAATAATTAAGTATTGATTATATTTACTTTCTTACAGAGAAATCTGGGCCCGATTTCTGGCTTTTGAAAGTAATATTGGTGATCTAGCTAGTATACTCAAAGTGGAAAAAAGACGGTTTACAGCATTCAAAGAAGAGTACGAAGGCAAAGAAACAGCTCTACTGGTAGATAGATACAAATTCATGGATTTATATCCTTGCTCTGCAAGTGAACTAAAAGCACTCGGTTATAAGGTACGTACTTAGATCAAGGTGTGTAGTGTCCTTTCTTTTCCAATGTTTTAGAATGGCTCATGGATAACCTTCACTCTAAAGGAAATTCTGAAATATAAATTAGTTTTACAATAGATTTGCAGAAAACAAGAAAAAAAAATCAGAGTTTTTCCTTGGGTTTATGAAACATTGGGTATCAAAAGTAGCTGAACAAAATGAGAAGTAAAATGAGATTTAATGAACGCTTTCATTCTGTCCCTCACATTGTCAGTGCCTTATATTTATGTATGGTGGGCAGATGGAGGGGGCGTGTAGGGAAGAAAACAAAAGAAAATCTGAATATCATCTTATGTATTTTTTTCTGATAGTTTTTATCAAATTGATGAATATGTTTTTTGTGTGTGTGTGTGACCAGTAAAGGGATCGGAATCCTTGGCTTGGTGTCGCCCGTACCGCGCTCAGCCAGTGAGCGCACCGGCCATCCCTATATAGGATCTGAACCTGCAGCCTCGGCGCTCCCAGCGCCGCACTCTCCCAAGTGAGCCACGGGTTCGGCCCTTGATGAATGTGTTTTGACAGATCTTAAACCAAATGTAGTTCCTGTTACATATTTTTTAAGATATATGAAGAAACATTATAGATTGTTAAGTCCATAAAGTTTCTTAAGGGATCTGTATCCTTAAAACAGTGCACCTTCAATGGTCCTTGGGGGAATTAACTTATCTAGGAACGGAACTCTTGTGGTTACTGAGTCACAAGAAAATAAATCTGGTACCTAAACCTATTCAGGTCAGTGGGAAAGATTAATGTTTACACAGCCCTTGAAATAGCCATTGCTGAGAAAACCATTGTTAGATCATTTCTTGATCTTTCTATATCATTTGAACAAAGACCAAAATGGAAATCCAAGGGAAGCTATATGCACAAGAGTCCTCAAGTTGGTCCCTTTAAGCCGACCAGCATTAGGATGCTCCTGACTATCGTTCTTATTTTCCTCACTGCCCTCTTCTGGCCTGGGGCTCACTCTGTGTCTGTCTGAACCAGATTAAAAGATTTGGAGAAAACTACTCATAATTGAGCTTCAGACATTTTTATTAATGGAAGTCTTAGTTCTGTGATTCCTATTCTCAACCAAGGGATTACTGCTCAGGGATGAGCATTTGCTGCTTCTAGTTTAACTACTTTTTAAAGAAAAGCCAAAGACATATTAAGACTACTTTGTGAAATTTTTAGAAAAGTCTATTTCAACTTTCCAAAATAAAAATGTAATTCAAGTTAATGAAAATAAAGATCTTACTATTTCCAAATAGAACTACTTCATGAATATGAATTTTCCATCTTTTATTTCTATTTCTCTTTTATTTGGAAAAGATTAATGTGCTTCTGCATGCGGTGGTAGGCAGTGTGGCATGCATGTCCATGTGAGTGAGAGAGAGAAAAAGGCACTTCCTAATGTGCCCACTCATTTAGATTTGCCCATATAAAACCAGATGTCACCGACTATATTTGAGCAAATTTTGAAAAGGTGAAATGCTCTTATATCCTTTGATGGTGGCAAAAGAGGCTTTTCTGGATCTAGTCAGGTAGAATGACATTGGGCTGCCTATAGCAGAAGAGCTGCTCTGGGACAGGGTCTCTGTTAATAGGTGACAGTATTGCTTCCTTTGACATATCTTGGAGAGGATATGTCATATCTTTGACATATCTTGTTTCAGCCTTGGTGGCATACCGCCTGTATACTAAAGAGACAACTGAGGATGGGTTTGAGGTCAGAGAGGCCTGGGCTCCGAATTCTCTCTACTTCTTAGCTGCTGTGTGACCTGGGACATATCAGAACCTCTTTGAGTTTCAGTCCTTTCTATAAAATGGAGATGTTGCTATTTGTCTCATCAAAGAGAATAAATGGCTAAAACTGCTTGACAAATAGTAGCTGCTCAATAAATGTTCCTTTCCCCCATAACATTGTAAATCCATTATGTCACTTAATCCAGCTTCTTTCTTTACCTAAAGAAACTGATAGATGTTTAATTCTGATGGAAAAGAGGTTGTCAGATGAATATCTTAAATCTACTATTTCCCTCCTGTCTACTTGGTGCCCAGTCTTATGACTTTACCCACAAAAGCCAGTATCTATACTACAAACATCCTACCTGGCAACACCAAATCTAGTGATTCTCAATTGAGGTTGGGATAAGGTTATAAAACACTGGGTCTTCAGAGCCAAAAAGCTTTCCTTGTTGAGTATTTAACAACCTTTACTGTCATTAAAGTTCTTACTTATCCCTCTCCATTTTCTCTTTCTCTTTCCAGTTATTCACACTGTATCCTCAAGATTATAGAATTGCACAATTGTACTCTATAAGTCCCTTTTTCAAGTTTAGGACTCTTCTGTTCTGCATTTTCAGGATGTCTCCCGTGCTAAACTAGCAGCTATAATTCCAGACCCAGTTGTAGCTCCTTCTATAGTGCCTGTTCTGAAAGATGAAGTGGATAGAAAACCAGAATACCCTAAACCAGACACTCAGCAGATGATTCCATTTCAGCCACGACATTTAGCACGTAAGCCATGACTTTAGATCCAGTACTGAGACCTCGGTTTGTTTGATTTAAATCCAAGGTGTGGGGGAAAGTAAAGTGGCCTTTCTGTTGTAGGTTAACAATTAGAATTAGAATCACTATGACAAGTTACTTGGCTGTAATCTTTGACATAGATGAACTAAGAATATCCTTTAAAAAAAAAAAACCTCTACAATGCAGATTCTAGTAACCTATTTTGGCAGTGATATTTAGTTTTCAGAAATGCTGCTATTTGCAGATTACCTGAACAGTTGGAAACACTTCAGTGATGTTATCTGGTATACTGACTAATGGTTAGTAGCCCCTCTAGATCCTTTTTGAACAAGGTCCTTACGATTAAATATGTTGCCAAATAACTGACTTTAAATAAGATTGCTGAACAAATGACTTGTGCAGCTTAGAAACACAAAAAAGTTCAGCCCGTGGGCTGCCTTACACAGTCACTTGTCTACTTTTCTGCCTCCCAGTGGCCATGGGTTGAGACTGCTTTCACTGTCTCACCCACTTCAGTTTGGTCAAGCTGGTAAACACTGAAAGCATTTTAAATGTCCAAAACCAAGCAACATAGACATAGAACATCTTTACGTACAAATTGTTTTTTCCTTTTAGCTCTTACATGTACAGAAATTCTTCCATCCCATTTCATTCATACTCTTCTTTCTCCCCCAGCTCCAGGCTTACACCCTGTCCCTGGTGGAGTGTTCCCGGTACCTCCTGCAGCTGTCGTTTTGATGAAACTTCTCCCTCCTCCTATCTGTTTCCAGGTTGGTTCACTATTTTCATGGTAGATACTGGCTCTGTGGGTTATAGTAATTGTGTGCTTTTTCTCTTATATATAATGGGAGATACAAAGTACTGCTATTTTAACTTGTCAGATTTTTGAGGATTAAAATTTGTGTCAAAATAGGGTCCTTTTGTACAAGTGGACGAACTGATGGAAATTTTCCGAAGATGCAAGATACCAAATAGTAAGTAATGAAAGCTCCATTTCATAGTGTAATTCACATTGTTGTCTCCTAGGCAGGAGAGATTGTTATTCTTTGCCGCTGGGAAGTTTCCAAAACCAGCTAGCCAACCTGCAGAAGTACAATGAAACCCAGGTGTGACCTGAACCCTCTTTGGCAGAGAGAGGCTTGTTCACATTCTAATTCCGCTAAGTAAAATGTCATAAAAGTTTATCTTTTCTATTTGTGTGAACATGCACTACCAGATTTGGCTTATGAAAATAATTTTATTAGTATTAACAGCAGCTTTTGTCTTTTCCTTTAATTTATTATCAATAGTACTATCCCATGCTTTGCTAATAATAGGCTATGAAATGAACTATAAAATATCCAAAGTAGAACATATATATTCTTTCACAGTAGCATAATTTTATTTTTTTTTATTTTCATAGTAGCATTAAGTTTAAACATCTTCCAATAGTCCTTTTTGTTTCGTTTCAATAGCTGTTGAGGAAGCTGTGAGAATCATTACCGGTGGGGCCCCGGAGCTGGCTGTAGAAGGAAATGGCCCGGTGGAAAGTAATGCAGTACTCACCAAGGCTGTCAAAAGGCCCAACGAGGACTCAGATGAAGATGAAGAAAAGGGAGCTGTTGTCCCCCCTGTTCATGACATTTACAGAGCACGGCAGCAGAAGCGAATTCGGTGAAGCCAGCTCAAAACCTGCCTCTGAAAGAAAACTCTTATCCAGAATTCCCTTTTTGCCTCTTAAGTCATATGTTTAAGAGACAATACTTTGTTACAAGATTCTTGAACACAAAGTTGTATTGTCATTAGTGCCTCTATCAAATGGTTCTCAAGAAAAAATCAACCTGTGTGGATTTTAGAATATGGAACAGACCTATGCTCTAAGCAAAATTAGGTTTTCAAAAATATGAGAATGAGAACAGTACAAAATGGCAGAGCTACATTTTGTTCCCTCTTCAAGGGTGTCTTGTATGTGCCGCTTGAAGATTTGTGAGTTTTCAACAGTTTTATTTTAAAAACTGGATGGCTTATGATTGTAAAGCATTTTATCACATTTTCTGAAAAACAGTTGTTCTCGGTTTGCTTATGTAGAGTCCTGCCTTATTGTTTGTTTTTATTTATGGCAGAACGTATGGAATCTGTTTTGTAGTTTAAAATTTTAAAACAGTCCTTTAAAAAATAAAAGGATCTGAAAAACATCATGCCTCCTACTTCAGATTTTATTTATAATACCTACTTATTTTATGTTATTCAGCCTATACCATTTAAAAATAAATGTCAACAATACAGAGAAAGGTGATCTTGTTCTTACTACATGTATACTCAAGCACATGTCCTTTCCTGTTTTGGTACTAAATGGAAACATTTTTAAGAGGCAAATTAAACATTTTAGAAAATCCTCAAATATGAATGTAGTTTCTCTCAATTAAATCTGATGCAGGTTGAGATATTTTATTTTTCATCTCTTAAAAGCAATATAAGTGTGGGAATTCCTTTAACCACCCACTGTCTTGTTCTCACAGATATATTTCAAAAAGTGCTCAGTGCTCAAGAACATTTTTGTCATGAGCTAAACATAGATATCATTAAAGAAAATTACGGCCAATTAACCAAATTCTAATTACAGTGAGGAAAAACTTATGCAAAATAAATCCAAAGAATAGGGTTTGCTCTTTGGTACCTCCTGTTAACTCATTTTGTGAAAAACTATCATATAGAAAATTGGTTGAGCCTAAAGGGTTGTGATTCAGAATGAAAACTAAGAATCAGGAAGGTTAAAAAAGATGATAGGGGAGGAAAAAGTATTATAAAGAAACTCTATCACATGCTGGGAACACAATTTAGGCAATTTAGAATTTGAATTCAGATGTGATTAAATAATCATTTAAAAATCAGCTTCAAATTTTACATAGAACTCTTAACTTGTAAGGTAAAAAAGGATATCTTGAATCATTTTCCCAAATTTGTATGTAGCGAGGTATATATAAGTTGGTCACAAGCATGTTTAGTCTCCTTTATTTTCCCATTAAAGCTATAATTGCCTCAAAGTCAGCTGCCTCCAATTTAGATTTTGTTATCCTCTCAAGTATCACTTTTAAGCTGTGTGGTTTTTTTATATCTTGTTTATCAACAAAACAATCTTAAAGGCACAAGTAGTAGTGTGTGGCATAGGCTTTAAAATATAAGGTGTGGACTCTTTCCCGAAATGCCATGTTTGATGGATAGTGTTTTAAAGAAGACAAAAACAGTCTCAAATACCTGTATGTGGTCTGTAATAGTATTCCCGCAGACTGTAAAACAAAGCTTTGTGAACATGCATGAAAAATGATTTTTTTTTTAGCATTGTAATGAAGAGAAAACATTACCCCCACACACTTGGTGAAAAGTGCCACTAAACACTGTTAAGGCCATTATGTACAGTATCACCTTAGCATCTGTGGGGGATTGGTTCCAGGATCTCCCACAGGTACCAAAATCCTCAGATGCTCAAGTCCCTGACATCAAATGGTGTAGCGTTTGTGTATAACCTATGCAGATCTTCCTATACACTACAAATCATCTCTATATTACTTATAATACCTAATACAATGTAAATGCTGTGTAAACTGTTGTTATACTGTATTTAGGGAGTAGTGACAAGGAAAAAAAACCTGTACATGTTCAGTACAGATGAATTTTTTTTTCCGAATATTTCTGACCAACCATTGGTTGAATCCACAATATGGAACCCATGCATATAGAAGGCTGACTATGTATTATAATTGTTCCTACTGCATTTATTTCTAAGATTTTTGTCCTAGACATGATCTGACCTTTAAACATAAAAAGGGTTATTTCTTTTTTTTTTTTAAAAAGATGACCGGTAAGGGGATCTCAACCCTTGGCTTGGTGTTGTCAGCACCACGCTCAGCCAGTGAGCAAACCGGCCATCCCTATATAGGATCCGAACCAGCGGCCTTGGTGTTATCAGCACCACACTCTACCGAGTGAGCCACGGGCCGGCCCTAAAAAGGGTTATTTCTTAATAGACACAGAAAAAGCATTTGATAAAATCCAACACCCCTTCATGACAAAAACCCTCAACAAATTAGGTATAGAAGGAATGTACCTCAACACAATAAGGCCTATACAACAAACCCACATCCAATATGCTGAATGGACAAAAATTGGAGGCTTTCCTCTAAGATCTGGAACTAGACAAGGATGCTTACATTCCCCACTCTTATTCAACGCAGTATTAGAAGTTTTAGTCTGTGCAGTAAGGCAAGAGAGAAAGCAATAAAGGGCATTCAAATCAAAAAAGAGGAAGTCAAACTATCTCTATTTGCAGATGACTTAATCCTATACAAACCCTAAAAGATTCCACCAAAAAACTACTAGAACTAATAAGTGAATTCAGTACAGTAGCAGGATACAAAATCAACACACAAAAATCAATAGCCTTACTATACACCAACAGTCAAATAGCTGAAGAAGAAATCAAGGTAATCCCATTCACAATAGCTATCAAAACTATGGAATACCCAGGAATAAATTTAACCAAGGAGGTGAAAAACCTCTACAATGAAAACTGAAACACTGGTGAAAAGAATTGAAGTAGACACAAATAAATGGAAAGATATCCCATGTTCATGGGTCAGAAGAAAATATGATCAAAGTGTCCATATCACCCAAAGCAATCTACACATTCAACATAATCTCTATCAAAATACCAATGACATTCTTCACAGAAACAGAAAAAACAACCTTAAAATTTGTATGGAACTAAAAAAGACACAGTATAGCTAAAGCAATCTTGAACAAAAAGAACAAAATTTGAGGCATCGTACTTCCTGACTTCAAAATATAGTATAAAGCTGTGGTAACCAAAACAGAATGCAACTGTCATAAAGACAAATTGGCCAATGGAATATAATAGAGAATCCTGAAATAAACCCACACATTTACAGCGAACTGATTCTTAACAAAGGTGCCAAAAATATGCAATGGGGAAAAGATAGCCTCTTCAACAAACGGTGCTGGGAAAAGTGGAAATCCACATGCAGAGGACTGAAACTAGACCCCTATCTCCCACCATACACAAAAATCAAATCAAAATGGATCAAAGACCTAAATTTAAGACCTGAAACTATGAAACTACTAGAACAAAACATACGGGAAACACTAATGCACGAAATGGGAGTGAGCAGCGCTTTTTTGAGTCAGACTACAAAGGCACAGGCAACTAAAGCAAAGATACATAAATGGGACTACCTCAAACTAAAAAGTTTCTGCACAGTAAAGGACACTCAACAAAGTGAAGAGACAGCCTACAGAATGTGAGAAAGTGTTTGCAAACTACACATCAGACAAGGGGCTAATGTCCAGAATGTATAAGGAACTCAAACAACAGCAGAAAAACAAATAACCCAATTAAAAAATGGGCAAAGGACCTGAACAGACATTTCTCAAAAGAAGACATACGAATGGCCAACAGGCACATGAAAAAATGCTCAACATCACTAATCATCAGAGAAATGGAAAGTAAAACCACAATGAGATATCATTTCACCCCTGTTAGAATGGCTATTATCAATAAGACAAAAAGTGACAAATGCTGGTGAGGATGCGGCAAAAAACGAACTTCCTACATTGCTGGTGGGAGTATAAATTGGTACAGCCACTGTGGAAAACAGTATGGAATTCCTCAGAGAACTAAAAATAGACCTACTCTAAGACCCAGCTATCCCACTACTGGGTATACCCAAAGGAAATGAAATCAATATATCAAAAAGACACCTGCACTCCCATGTTCACTGCAGCACCATTCACAATAGCCAAGAGATGGAATCAACCTAAATGTCCATCAACGGAGGAATGGATAACAAAAACTGAGGTGTATATACATAATGGAATACTACTCAGCTATAAAAGAAATGATATCCTATCATTTGCAGCAACATGGATAGAAGTGGAAACCATCATGTTAAGTGAAGTCAGGCACAAAGAGACAAACACCACATGATCTCACTTGTATGTGGAATCTAAGAAAAAAAAAGTGGTTGTCATAGAAGTAGAGACTAAGGGGCTGGTTGTTTAGCTTACTTGGAAGAGCATGGTGCTGGTAACACCATGGTCAAGGGTTTGGATCCCCATGCTGGTCAGCTGCAAAAAAAAAAAAAAAAAGTGGAGAGTAGAATAATGGGGTGAGGAGGGGGGAAGTGGCGGGAAGAGAAGTGGTGGACTAATGGGTACAAAACTATGCTATCTACACTAAGAGAATCATTGTGCAGTATGTGCATGTATTGAAACACCACACTGTACCCCACAAATATGTACATGTAAATGTTAAAATATTTTGAATTTAAAAAAAGGAAGAAAAAAGAAAAAGGTTTACTTCTTGTTAGAAGGAAATATTTTCTAATGTTCTAACTGCTATAGATATATATGGAATCTTTAGCTTTTAAAATGCGTCTGCCTGAATATTTGAAAATTCTTTTTTGTTAAACACAGTTTAACAAGCAGCATGATGTTAGAAATCTGAACTCGCCTTTGGAAATCTACCGTGCACACTCTCATGCTATAGCCAGCCATACATTTCCATGAACTCTCATATATCAGTATTGCCAGACCCGGAGAAACTGCCAAAAGATATCCATCTTTTTCCTTTTTATAAAAGCAATGACAGCATTTTCCCAAGATTCTAGACTGGACAAAATTTTCAAGGACTATAAGTAAGTCCTTCCTGAACAAAAGTTATTCAAACTCTGCCCTTAATCACTAAACTTCAAAGAAGAGCTTATATCTGTGTTGCCGTTCCTGGTAAAGTAAAAGATTGCAGAGGCTCGTAGTACACTGTGGGTTTTTGTTTTGTTTTTGGTGGCTGGCCAGTACTGGGAACCAAACCCGTGACCCTGGGGTTATAAGGCTGCACTCTAAGCAGCTGAGCTAACTTGCCAGACCTTAGAGGCTACTAGTAAATGTAAAACTTTGAACAGCCAAATTGTACCACTGGAAAAGAATGAAAAAATACACTACTTTTGTCAGCATATTGACCTTAGTCAATAATTATGAATTTATTTGGTAATTTTATAACCCTCTATTGGCCATAGTTAATATGTAAATGTTAAAGAGTTCATTTACACAATAGTAAAGTATAATTATCATGTTCATAAATTCTGTTTTTTTACATTTCAATTCCCAAAACAAACTTCATTAAA